GCTCGCTTAATTTCTAAAGTCACCTAAATAATTGCCTAGGGTGATGTATCTTAAAGCCACTGAAGCTCATCATGTCTTCGAAGCCAGCAGATAATGTTCACATCCATCTCTGCAGTTCACTGCAGACCTCCGAAGTGCTGAGCTAGCACTGGAGGGCTGCTTGGCAGTGACTTTGTGGGAGAGAACCCTGTGATCTGCCTGCCTCAAACGTAGTTTTATTTTTGCCATACCGGAATATGTCTTAGCATAGTAATGACAAAGGTGGAATGTATCCCTTGACTCCAGTAATGACTGATATAATTCTCTTCTGTAGACTAATTTACTTTAACCTGCCTACATATTATTAAAATGCCAGCCACCAGGGCATCAAAGAAAATAATGGGGATTAAGAACTAGCGGAATAACTGCACGAGAAATAAATGAAGGAATATTTGGTACCGCTACTCCGCTTAGGATGCAAAACTGCTGTGGTTTTGGGTTTCCTTATTCTGCTTTTGACCTATCTACTGAAGTCTTTCTGTTTAACTCTTTTACCAGTTAGAGTGGCTGTATTTTTAAGGAAAGGGCTGGTTTATTCTTATTTGCCATCGATAATTATACTCGCTAAAACAACGATAATCAAGTCTCATCCTTCTAGTGATGAGCAAGATTTTGTGGTGATCAGGATGAACGTTTTCTGCTCTCGCGGGGCACTGGGGAACACGTTCTGTACGTCCCTGAAATCTGCCTTTCCCCCTGGTTTTCTGGGGAGGAAGGAGAGGGTTTAGTTCTTGCCCTCTAACAAGCCCAAACTCAATGAAGTCTGTCAGAGCCTTCTTTATTGCTTTTCATGTTACGAGGAAGGCATTCCAACGCTTGTGCATGGGCAATAACATCAGACAGGTAATTTCTTTTTCTTAAGGCAAGGTTCCAGCTTGCTGGGCTTACAGCCTTATCAACCCCCCCTTTTCTTTATATAGGTTTAAAAAAGTGACTGGTGACATTTAAAGGAGCCCAACTGCGAGAATCACCTAAAAATTAATAACCTTCGATATGTAGTACATTAGTCCTTTAAATCTTCATGCGGTTTAAAAATACCTGTAAAAGCACTAGATTTCCCATGTACAATGTGCCAAATACCTTCAGGGACTTCTTCCAATGGGGAGTCAAGACAAAATTGTGTTTATCAATCTTCAGAACTCTTCCAATTCATTATGGAAAAGGGCAGCTTATTCCAAAAGATTTCTAAATCTCAGAGCAAAATATCGCCAGCCTTGGAAATAATTCTGAGCGGCAGACTGCTTTTACTGGCTCCTTTTCCTTGGTTGCAGAGCCCACCCCTAGCATTATCAGGACTAATTTCAGTGCCCTGCTGACATTTGCAAGACAATTATTAGCTGGAGAGACAGGCGGCAGTCAATTTTTCCCAAAGTCTCCCAGAACCCGTCATTTGGTCACATCAGTTGTTGTCTTTTGCACAGCACAAAGTTCAACAGCTTTGGTCTGAAGGTCAGCCTGATTTTTTTTTTTTCTTGCTTGTCTGGATCCCGCACAACCGTGAGCTCTTGCAGCAAGACAGCAGCTTTCTTTGGGAGCTCTGGGGCACTTGGCACTTGGACGCTGTGCAATGACCATAAAGATGCCATCACAAGCAAACAGTCAGTAATGAGCTCTCTTCAGGAAGGCTCCCTTTGCTGTGTGCTCGGAGAGGAATCGTCAGGGACGCTGCAGAACGTTCGTGTTTCTTGGGTCTTACCTGGAGATCTGGTGAGTTCCTCCGTCCTCCCTTTCAGAGCAGTCCCTTCCCTCACAAGAACTGTATGAAGAGGAGTAGAAAGACCTTCCCTAAGACGAGTTCGGGCATGTTTTTAAGCTGAAGTAGTAACAGAATCACATGATTGCAGGAAATGACACTTTAAAAACAAAAAAACAAATATGAAATAACAAAAGACTGGAAACGAAAAGTATCACAGTTCTGGTTTTTTGCACTACAGTTGGAGAGCAAGTCTTTTATCAAATTTCTTTGGCTTTAATTGCATCCAGAGTCCCAGACAGGCTTGCACCGAGCCCTTTTAGTCCGACCACCACAACCAACACTAATTCAGGTAGCTCAGCACATGCAACCCATGACATAAATATGCAGCTCTCATGACCTTCAGCACTTAAGATAACTCCGTGTCTTCAAAACATTCTCGGGACGTTACCGCCTTAATTGTCAAGAATACAAAGAAAAGTTACAGGGTTCTTGCCAAAACCAGCATCAGTGCATGAGCAGCAGGAACACGGCACCATTTCAGGCAGAAAAGCATGAATTCATCCAGGAGACTGTGCACACTGTAGTATGTTCTGTTCTCCTTGGGCAGCACAATTCCCAGTAATTGCAAAGAAAACCGGTAATCTGAGTCTAATGCCGGTTCCACACATCCCCCAAACCAGCGCTAATATTAGGTTATTTCAAAATCAGGACGTGAAAAAAGGGAGTTTGTTTAATTTTACCTTCCCTTTCAGTAGTTACCAAAGTTGCTTTTCCCACAGTGTGGGGGGAAGTTGCATTGATTAAGATTATAAATGGAATTAAAAAATAAACAGCTATTCTCCAATATTCACATGACCCCAGCAGCTGGAGATTTAAGGAAAAAACATATAAAAAGACATATAAAACATATAAAAAAGCATTCCT